ATAAGTTTAGCTATAATATGTTATTTCATATTTCTGTGATGTGTGAATGCCTGACTCATTGATGTCCTGTCTTTATCTGTCTTTATGTCCTGTCCTGATTGGCTGGCAATGATTTAAAAAGCACAAGCTCCGCCTACTTGAGGAGCGGGGGAGGCCAGAGGAGAGACATGGGTTAGCTGATCGTGGGTTCTGGTGGACAGTCCAGCTCCTGCTCCTGTCTTTTGTAGACACTGGTTGTTGTATTGTGTCCCTTTATTGTTTAGTCAGTTGTTGTTGAGTCAGGAAGTCATTAGCAGTGTTTATTGCAGAGGTGCCCAAACATTTTCCCTGAGAGGGCCAAATTTAAAACCAATCTGAGGGTCGCGGGCCAAATGTAATAATATAAGGAATGCAAATACTTTGTAAGTAAAGTTTATTATTTTAATTTTTTTATGATTAAGCTAGCAGTCAGTGTGGTTGCGCATATTCTTTTTTTTTCAGTCTATGGACATGAAGAAAATTCAAAGTATGCTCAGGCAGCAAAGGCTCATGACACCTTTCATAATTTAAATTTTGAGTATAAGTCTTATAAGGTGTTCAAATCTATATATGGGCTTAAAATCTAATCTAAATGTCCCTGTTACTTGCATTTTATATTTAATCTTGATATAATTACAATCTAGTAACTGCTGGTGTACCAAATCAAATGGGTTGGTGGGCGAATTTTGGCCCGTGGGCCCCACTTTGGGCACCTCTGGTTTATTGAAAAGTTTCTGGTTGTAGGGTTTATGTCCAGTTCTATTGGGTTTAGGTCTTGTTGGAAATGTCTCTCAGCCTCATGTGCCCATGAAGACAGCAGCTTCACACACGCATGTGTGTGCACACACATACACACATAATCATTAGTCCTTTGCATGTGTCAAATACATTTTTGCACCCGAGGACTTGTTTAGACATTTTTCTCTCATTCTCCATTTATTCATCCTTTTTCTGCATCTAGAAATTATTTCAGATCGCACGGAGGAGAATCAGAGGAGAATCACACACGATGGACACATTTGTCACTTGGTTAGGTGGACATTTTTTGCAGTGTGTGTACACAGTTTTCCACTTTTGTCTACGCGCCAATTTTTAGTGTGAAAGCTGCGACTCTTTTATACATGAGGACCCTGGACTCCATGTGTTGTGAGTCAGTCCTGGACAGACAGACCAGGACATATTTGGGGACTCGTCCTTGACTGCAGTTTTTTTGCAGTGAGAAAACGAAACCAAATATTAGTTTATTTAGTTTATTTATTTCTTCATCATCAGTGACTTTTTT